ATCAGAAACATTTGGCTCACGACGCCACAGACTTAGGACTCTGTCAAGATTTTTGAAGCCTCCAGCACCCTGGGAGTGGGTGCAGAGTGGGCGTTTGCAGTGCTCGATCTGTACAGCACAGGAACCAACAGAATTCCTTCTGGAAACAATCTGAAGCACATTTGGGGCTAGCAAACTCCCAGGTATCCCTGAACACGCTCTCATTTTCACCTGGAAATTTTAAACAGGCGGTAAGAGGAATTTGGTCGTGGCAGGAGATTGCTGCAGAGAGACTGCACGCGCACATTAAGCCCAATGTCTCCAGAACATGATAGAAGTACCGCCCATGTGCTGGCCATCTGCGTAGTGCATTTGCAGGCAGTTCGGTGCATCTTGGGTGCTCTGAAAGCAATATATGCATACACTATACAGTACGTGCATACGTCTCTGTCCACAACTGCTTAGAAGGAAACAAGGGAGGCTCTACATGTGTAGTAAACACTTTTTTTTTTTTTTTTTTTTGTAGATGCACCCTAAATGGTTATTCTCTCATTCATTGGTCACAGCTGAGGTATGAGCATGCAGGACTATCCCTGCTCCCTTCAGGCTGTTATGAAACTGCTTGCCATACTATACTATACCCGATCTTTGAGTCATGGGAGAACAAGGGCTAGAATCACAGTGATTATTTGCTCAGATGAGGTCAGGGCTCATTTGCTGCTGTCCCTAATCTCACTGAAGGCCAGCTGAAATCAATGCTCTGCAGTTAAAAGACTGGACCTTTTTGCAAGAAGTCAGGTTCTGAAGCTGATGTGGAGACGTTGGCTTAAGCTAGCTCAGTGTATGCCCTAGAAGCTTATATTTCAAATTAAGACAGAACAATGCAATATTTTGCTTGAAATAAAGTAAAATGAAGCTGATCTTCAGGGCCTTGACTGCTCCCAGGCTGCTCTGCTGCACACTTAGAAATAGTCTACTGCTTTGTGAAATTAAAAACACAAATCATATCTGAAAAATCTCAACTTGAACCCAAATACTGCTTTTGTATTAGAGGAGTGGAGAGCATATAACCCACTCAGGATAAGCTGTGCTCACTTCATCCAGATGTCTGTATTTCTAAAAGGCTTATGCTACAACCACTCCCATGGTCCATATGCACTGGGCACTGATTAATCTTTAGGGTATTTCACCACACAAAAATGCAAGAGATCTGGATTAAGCTGATCTGCTAGTCTAAGGAGCCGTTCCCCATGCTGGACCAATTGGGTTAATTCCTGAAAAATAATACCTGCCTGACAAAGTGAAAAAAGGGAGATGATGTTACCCCATTCAGGAAGACGTGCCGGGAAACACTAATTCATCTGTTTTCATCTTGACTGGCCCACTGATGGCCACTTCTGTTATTCTACCTGCTGCAGAAACCCATATCTGATGTTTCAGAATTAATAAAATATAAATAAAACAAAATGAGAGAACAAAGAGGAAACAAAGCCCCAAACTATTTTTCCCCACATCCATTTTCAGCACCCTGAGGCAAATTCCTTTCTGATCACTATCTCAGTAGAAAGTGAACCTGCAAATACCCTTACTTAAGTGTTTTCTGCCTAAGTGTTGTTTTTCCTGGTCAATAAGGCCCGTTCAATGCCGGTCTGCCCCATGACCAAGCTATCTCGGGCAGGATCTTGGCTGTGGCTTGTTTCATGATTTATGGTAGCTTAGCTAGGTCAACAATAAATGCTTTGAAAATTCACACCCTTTTCATGCTTGGTCTGCAGGTTCCTGACAAAAGTTCCTGTTTCAATTCAGTTGAATCATGACATTTAATTTCCTGTGTGTTTACTGTTCTTTCTATCAAGCAAAAGGCAAATTCTAATACTGCACGCTGATGGAAAAAATCTTGCTTGCACTAGTTATCAGTTGTGGGCTACATGCTATTACATTATTTTTTTAAGTTCATGCACAAGTCTTGCCTCATGTTTTTAGAGGTTTCAAAGAATGATTTATTGAGTTACTGCTGATGGAAAGCCAGGGTACAATTCCTCACTTTTCCAGAGTTATCTGTGACCTGTACCAATCTCCCTGTAACCTTGGGGCTGTTGCACTGATGCACTCTTCTGCATCACAGTGGCAATGGTGAGGCTGGTGACGTACTAAGGCAATACACCAAATGTAAAGCAACTTTGGATTAATGGATAGTTTTACCTCCTGACTTGCAAACCAGCCCAGATTTTTTAAACTAGAAAGAACCTGGAGCTTTTCAGGGAATTATTCTGGTGCTGTCCCTGTCACTACTGCATCTCTTGTTCCTCTCTGAAATGCAAACAGACACATTTGAATGAATGCTGGCACAAGCAGTGCCACCCAGCGTCAAGACCAGAAATGCCTTGCTTACGGCCCAGCTTGTGCTGAGTAAATGGGCAGCGATCGCATCCCCAAGGCTGTTGTCTCCTCAGGGGCTGAGGTTACACCTCTCCACACCAGGACTTGTTTAAGAGGCTGTGTCGCCCAGCTTGCCCGGTACCCGTCCATGGCAGCCTCCTCAGGATTCAAACAGCTGACACTTTGCGTGGTCTGGGTTTTTGTTGTGCCCCTAAAATGTGCCTGAACTTAAACACCAGCAGAGCAAGCACCAGTTTTGTACGAGAAATTAGGTCTTTTATAAGTGCACATTTACAACCTGCAAGGACAAGGCAGTCCACAATGATCTTCAGCCGTTTTAAATAAAATGATCCTATGCATGAGACTCAAGTTTTATGATGACTTGGATAAGTTTTAGGGGTGTATGGAATGGGCTTCTTGGTGCAGAGACTGAAATTTAGGTGTGAAGAGACTCGAATGCCAAAGAGTGAGATAAATTAATTACGAAGAAGGTGGCTGTGTAGCTACAAAGAAAGGAGAGAAAATTCTTCCTAAAAATTATTTTTGTTGAAGTTGGAAAGTGTTTTACGTGGAAAAAGGTGTTGCATTCATATCTGAGGCCTCTTTATTAAATGGTAAATCATCTTTGTTTGCTCTCTTTGCCCTCAGTGTATGTCTGCAGGTAAATACTAATCTCTATATAATCACCACACTACCTAATTTCATAGCAAACCTTTGAGTTTTCAGCCTTTCATATAAGGCATCTAACTGGCTGTCTACATATCTACATGATATGCACTCCTATTACTAGCAGACCATCACGAGAACTGGGGAAGCAAGTATGTGGTTCTGGCCCTTGACATTTTAAATTTGGGCCACTAATCTTATTCACCAAAACATTCAAGAATGTATCAGCCCCAATTCATTATATTCACCAATTAGTCCTATAAGCTTTTCCATCCAGCTTTTACATCTTTGTAGTACTCACATAGTATTAAAAATGTATTTAATAATTTTTCTACTATCAGAGATAATTTTTCTAAATTTCTAGCAGGCATGTCCTACCCAGTCATAATATGTGACCAGTCATGCCCAATACATAAGCCATTGTATGAAGTAAGATTTATACGTACACAGAATATTTTCTTAAATCAAATTATATGGTTTAGGGGAAAAAGTTTTCTGTTCAGTCTGATTTCTTTTTATTTCATGTTGTGTAGCCAATATTTCAAATGGCAGATTTCAATATCTTCTATGCTGAACAGCAGTATTGTTGCAGCTACAATAAAGCCAAAATATCTTTGAAAGAGGTCTGTTTTTCTCACCATCTCAGTTGGTCTAATATTGCCCTATAAAACTTGCTGCATTTAAACCATTCTTAAGCCACCACTAATACAACAACACTGTTGCTCAACTGTAGTAATCAGAATTTTTTCAGAACTCTAAAACTTATTGTGGAAAGGCAAGAGCTGCTTCTAGATATCACTGAAATTTGTACAATAACTAATGCCCTTCTATCATCATAATTTCTGTCTTCACAGACAGTGAATGTTTGTTAAATATATAGAGTATTCATCTTCAAGGGTAAAATATTCAGATTTGTTTTTCCTAGTAGGTGTTAACATATTTTTTTTGCCTGGCTGCCTCTAGCTCTTAGAATTGATACCAAAGGAGACCACTTTTATAACCAGGAATAACACATAGTCAGAAAAAAATAGATAAAACTTAAAAGGTGATTTTTATTTTTTAAGTTATCCTTAAATGCACAGCAATTATGCAAGAAATTCTTTCTTCTTTTGCTTTATCTCAGTAGTCTATTCTGTTACTAGGTGTCGTAAGACACAGGAGCAGAACTCATGTGTCCTGTCTGCTGGCTCGTACTTTCTAATAGGCACCTTTAAAAATTGATCTGTTATAACAATTATTTTTGGATTAATTTTTCTCTGCCTGCCTTCTTTTAATGCATTGATGAAGAGATTGAAGGATTCAGTTCAGACTGAATCTTTGTCTTGCTAACATGGAAAACATTAAAAGCTTGATTGAAAAATATATTTTCCAATGAGAGCTGATTATTTTGCCAAAGCCCACTTAGATAATCACTCAGGATTATACAATCCATTCCCCATACGTCTCAAGAAAAGGTAAAATGGACCAAATAGAGAGCAACTTTCTTCTTTAAGATATTTTTTCTGGACGTTTGTCCTTCCTAGATTCATTGGTCTCTTCCACTGTTCACTGTACCATTACTGCACTGGAATAATAGTCCTAAAATGGGATGCTTCCAAAACATCCACAGCATTGGCACCAGGTATACAGAAAGCTTTGCCTACTGACCATGAGATGTGTCTGCAAGCGCTGCCATTCATAGGTAGTAGTACAAAGGGTACATAAGTAACTAAAAGGGTAAAGCATACTGATACATTGACTTATCAACATAACCCTAAACGTCATCTTAGTATGCAGCACATACGAAGACAAACATGATCACCATCACTATGACTCAAATTTAACTTTAGCTTTTCACCAGGATTCCTTGAAGAAGTTGATGTGACAATAGAGGAGTTTATACTGCTCAATATTTTCTGTTGCATGCTGCCTTGTTTAGAGCATTCTGTTAGGCTATGATAGTATACCTTTATAATGTAATACGTGACTTTCCTTACCAGAAATAACGGAGTCATTCAAAACTTCCTCATCCTGATAAAAAACAGAGTCTTCCTTGAGCTCTGAGTTCATGATCATGTTTTCTTTGTTCTCATCCGACTCTTTAACTGAGTTCCGCTTATTTTCTGAATCACTGCTGTAACTCAGTGAGTTCTCCTTTTCTTTGTTGCGCTCAATGCTAGATGTTCTGGATGGACAGACATCCACTCTTTTTTTTGGAGAGCCTTTGCTTTCTCTTCCGTGGAAGCTGTGGATGGAAGATGCACAGCCCAGTTTTTACAAAAGCCTTTTATTGCCACTGTAGGAGCTTACCGTTATATGAGAATGAGCAGAATGTCTTGTAGCTCGTAAAGGCCAGGGCAGAGAGTTCAACATGGGGCAACACGGGATGGCATTCTCAAGACTGTGTTGAGAATGGCAAATGCAGATCTACTTTCCTATCTCTGTCATAAAAATAAGGTATGGAAGGGTGGTGACTAATGTATTTCTTTGATACATAGCCACATGCTATGCGGTACTAATTAAAAAAAGCCACATAGCACGTCCTTCTAATGTAAAACATACATGGCATGAAATATTACCATTCTGATATTTTATGATCATGACAAAGGTTTAACAGGGCCTGGAAATAATATTGTATGAATCTATTCCCCATGACAATAGCTGTTATGGAATGGAGAAATGTTACCAACTTAACTCCAAAGCTCTATGATGGAAAAGGTTATCTCTGTCCTCCTCTAATACACAGGAGGGCTTATAATGAAAACCAGAGAGAGTACCCAGTGTACTCCCACACAAGCATTTGTATTAAAAATGCATACCGTATATGCTCATGTATAAGCCAAGAGACATATACTGAAATAGTAGAGTTTCTCATATGTAGAGTACTGATATTTAGAGCAGGATATGCCTTAGCTACTCTAATTTGGTATCTTGTGGCGAGATTTTCTTTTGCAATAGGTGAAGGATTGTCAAATTATTCTACCTGTTTGAAAACCTACTTCCCTGTCACAGTAGGCTCCTTATAAAGGAAAAACATACTTTTAAGTAACTGCCAAATTAAGCACTTTAACCAGGGATGGATGTTCAAAGTAGTGGCATCAAGAGGAAGGCAAACCCAAGGTGTAGCAGTAAATAAAATGCTAATAAAAGGGTAGGAAGATTTACCAAGAAAAATGATTTAGTGGAATGACTCTCCTCATGCACCCATATAGCCAAGAGGCTGTAGGTACCTGTCCTGCCGGTGTTTGGTGGCCAGAGCCCTGTGGAGTTCTTCAATGACTCTGCTAGGAGGTAAAGGCAGGTGGACGGCAGCCAGGTGAGGGGAACCGGTTGGCGTTGTTACCTGTCCTCTGACATGGGCTTCTGAACTTTTCTGGCCAGAGGGATGGAAGAGGGCAGCTTGTCCTGAGATTTGGGAGGAACCAACAATGACATAATTCTTCAGGATGGTGGAAGGAGGAGATTTCATGGCTGGGTCATCTGTTTCACTTCCTGCTGTCAAAACACAAGAGGGTAAGAGGTTGTGTGATCCCCCCCCCCCCCCAGTCTGCACTGAAGTTAATTTGTTGTGTTGAACAGAGGAAAATGGTGACGCTTTGTTCTTGCTAGGAGGTAACTGGTTAAGCTGAGTAACTTTCCGAATTCAAAAGGCTCATACTGCTCAGATCCAGATCTTTGATCTAGCAAAATAGATGCCTCCTCCTTTTCCCCTCTTTCCACACTGTCAGATTCTCCTTTTTCCCAGCCCAACAATGCATTCTTGATTGCCAGTACTGTTCCTCCTAACCACCAATGGCTTGTACTGCGGTGGCTTTCCAATCTAGCACTTTCTCTGCTGGACTCCGGCAGACTGCAGTAAAATTTATGCACTGTGGTTCTCAGTCAGGACAAAATGTACTGGTGTCTATTATCCTCTCCTCTGTGATTGCTGCACAACTTAGACCTCTGTCTTTCATATGCCAGTTGAGGAAATGCCAAAATCATTATAATATGAGGATAATGTTCACATAACAAAACTTGCCAAATGAAATCCAAATGAGAGATGTGGTATGGAGCACTAAGAAGAAAAAAGAAGGGTGGAGCAATCTAATCTTTTTTTACTCCCAGACTCAGATATTTTTTTATGCAATGTAAGCATTTTGTTGGAAATTAGACTTTGATATATATACATTTCTCTAGCACCTGAGTCCCAAACACAGTAGACATTTCCCTGGTTGTAAATTTGGTAGTTTCACACTTTTAAGATAACTGAACATCTGGCCTGAAAAAGATGCTGATTAGTTTTTCTCTTCTGCAGTTCTCTTCCCCTTTCCCTTATATCTCCATCCCAAGCCTCTGGCATATGGTGTTTACACGAATAGCTCAGTCTGGGTGTAAAAAGTAAATGCGAGTTCGGTCACATGCAAGAGTATTTCTTTTCTCTTATTGCCACCTAGTGTTTTAAACAGGAATTTAAACTTGACACAGCTTGTACAGCTTTTGTACAAACTTGTTTTCACAGATAATTTTTATTTTTTTCACTTTTGAGATAAATCCTTCAGTTCATAGCAGAGAAAAACTTCTGCTCAGGCCAGGATTATCCTGAAATACTCATGTAAAACGGACTTGGTTCCTATTAGCAGGGTGTCCTGGTTTCGGCTGGGATAGAGTTAATTTT